TATATTTTTTGAATAAGGAATCTTGATAATTTTGGTATATTTTCAGCTTTACGAGTGCCCGAGGTTTAACGTTTCTAGTTCTAACTGATATTAACTACCCTACAGTTCTAGCTTTCTCCTTCCTCAATGACTTAATGAAAGAATTCTTACAACAATACAGGCATGAAAAAACTGATGTTGTCACCAGACCTTACGCTTATATTGATTTTGGTAAGTTGGATATTTAAAAATTAAATGTTGGTCTCTCTAGCATTATTGGTGTGTAAACGCAATTGACTTCGTCATTTATTAAATTTGTCACGTGATCAGTTGCGTTTACGCCAAAACACTGCAGACAAAAGTTGTATTCTGAGAATCATTAGACACTGAATGCACCTTTTGTTCGTGTCACAAAATCCCAGCGTTGAAGAGGGCATCATACAGACGAATGTTCAAGAGGGCCGTCTTTAGACCTTAACAGGTCATAAAATAAAAGCTAATAAAATAACGGAACCGATATTTAATTTTAATTCGACTTAGGAACAGCTAAACCTAAGTTGTTATCAGCTGGTAGAAAGGATCCTCGTGAACCTAAGTTATTATCCTTGTAAAATCAATACCAAGAGGTTTGACCAAGGACCAGCTGGTAGAAAGGATCTTTGTGAACCTAAGTTATTATCCTTGTAAAATCAATACCAAGAGGTTTGATCAAGGACCAGCTGGTAGAAAGGATCTTTGTGAACCTAAGTTATTATCCTTGTAAAATCAATACCAAGAGGTTTGATCAAGGACCAGCTGGTAGAAAGGATCTTTGTGAACCTAAGTTATTATCCTTGTAAAATCAATACCAAGAGGTTTGTCCAAGGACCAGCTGGTAGAAAGGATCCTCGTGAACCTAAGTTGTTATCCTTGTAAAATCAATACCAAGAGGTTTGACCAAGGACCAGCTGGTAGAAAGGATACTTGTGAACCTAAGTTATTATCCTTGTAAAATCAATACCAAGAGGTTTGATCAAGGACCAGCTGGTAGAAAGGATCTTTGTGAACCTAAGTTATTATCCT